GAGCTAGCAGGGGAGATGGATAGTCTGCAGGGAGGGAGCTAGCAGTGGGAGTGGATGGAGTCTGCAGGGAGGGAGCAAGCAGGGGGAGTGGATGGAGTCTGCAGGGAGGGAGCAAGCAGCTGGGGAGTGGATGGAGTCTGCAGGGAGGGAGCAAGCAGCGGGGGGATAGATGGAGTCTGCAGGGAGGGAGCTAGCAGCGGGGGGATAGATGGAGTATGTAGTGAGTGAGCTAGCATGTGAGTGAGCTAGTATGTAGTGGATGAAGTCTGCAGGGAGGGAGCTAGCAGGAGAAATTGATGGCGTCTGTGTGTTGGTAAGGGAGTTTGCAGGAAGACTTTTAGTATTGGTTAGGGAGAACGAATGGAGCTTGCAGAGGGATTAATGAAGTCTACAAGGTGGTGAGTGAGCTAGCTGGGGGATAGATGGAACCTGGGTTTGTCAGTGAGCCTGCAGGAACGTAAATGGAGTCTCTCGGTTTTTGAGGAAGCTTGCAGGATGATGTGGGGAACTTGCATGAGTGTGAAGGTAGCCTGTAAGGTTGTGATGGAGCTTGCAGAAAGATAAGGCTCTTACTTATGGTTTGCATCGGGTGGGGATTAAAGTTGTGTATAGAGTCTGCAGGGCAGATAAGGCTTAACATGTCCCTGGTCAGGGTGGAGTAGAGTTTAATAAACAGTGATGCTGTTAAGAAATTCTGGCACTCAAAAATTTTCAGCTTGTGCAACTTTATTTGAAACACACAGCAATAAAGCTTTACAAGAGGGAACTTCACAAGTGCCAAAGGTTTACTCATTCTTTCTAATATTCGCAAGGCACCGTGTTTGGTGTCTAAATTGTAACATAAATTATACATCTGTTATAACCATGGTTTTCGTGTTACTGCTGGATCCCAGCTTTAAAGCCTCCCTGTTACTGTTGATTTTTCCATAAAAATATGTAAAAATTTAAAGGGATGCTCTAAGCACCAAAACAACTTTAGTTTAAAGGAACACTGTAGCATTAGGAATACAAATCTCTTTGACTAGTTCTTGGAGTCCCCTGGCACTATCCTTCTTTTCAGAGTTAAACTGCTCTACTGCATTTTAACACTAAATAAGGGTCCATGGCAACCTAGTTTGGCCCCTTCTAGAGGTGAGGCTAAGCAGAGATTACACACTTCCTTGAAGTCAATCATCTGATACTCCCAGCTAATCACAGCTGTCCATTGCTGCTCAGACTAATACCTCCTCATTAGTCAAAGGGACAGAGGGAATGGCTGCTGGGGGACTCACGGTTAGCGTTAAAGCATTAAAAACTGTTTAATGCTGAATGAATTAACGATACCAGGGGACTCGGGCGCTATAACCAGTTTATTGAAAAGTCTTTATTACTGCATGTTGGTGTAAGGAAAGCCAGCACACAGGTTTACATCAGACATGGCATTCAGTTTCAAGATGGAGGCTTCACAGGTGGTACATCAGATTAACATGTAAACAGATGTAAGAAACATTGGGGGGGATGCTACATCACAAGCTGACACACGTCAAAGGAACTATTTTTTTAAATTTATATAAAGCCAACTTATTGCACAGGACTTAATTGTTAAATGTTCCCATTTATAATATTGTAAACTAGGCAAAATGTTACAGGAACAATAGGTTGATGAGGACACT